CCAGGACAGACCATGCAGGACCTCACTGAACACAACTTCCCAGGCTGATATCATCTGAGCAGCCGTCACCCTCCATCACCTATGGTTCCTGAGGAACATGTCCATGGGCAGTGCCAAAACTGCTTGGAAGTCAAAACACATCTACTGCTCCCTGTTTCCACCTGGGCTGCATCCCCCTCAGTGATGGACATTAGATGGACATTAGATTGGTTCAACACGTACAGTTGACAGATCCTCGTTGCCTGCTCCTTATCACGTGTAATCCTTGAGAGGCTTAACATATGCTGTTTAACAATTTCATTCTGTATCTTTTCAGGCATAAAAGTCAGTCTGACCAATGTATTTCTCTTCTCCCTTCTAAATGCCACACGCTGTGTCTCATCCTGCTCCAGTCCACAAGGACTTCACCTGTGCCCATATGTTTTCTGAGGTCAGAGATGACTGTGACTAGTTCCTTATGTATGCCAAGGTAAATTTTATCACACCTCAACAATTTGAATATTTTCTTAATCCAGACTTTCCTGGACAGACAGACTTATTTCTTTTTCTAGGCTTACGCATCTAGGCAGAATTCATTTTGTGCTTTAATCTGCTTGATTTTTCTCTACATATTTGTGTTTTGCTCTGCGTTCATCTTTACACATCTATCTTTGATGTATAGCAGTGCTGCATTATTCCCTTTTCCCAGGCTCTTCCTTCTGATCTGACATTACTGGCCTGTGCTGTCTCACCACTCTGCACCTTCTCACTCTTCCTCGAGGTTTTTATCCAGCCTTCTTGTTTCTTCCCCTTGGTTTTTTGTTGCCAGTCCTTTAAAACAGGAAATAAATCTCTCTCTATTGGACAGGTGCATCAGGGTCCTTGAAGATTCTTCCTTCATCAAATGAGGTCCCACTCTGGACAACCATGCTGTGAAGCGAATCGAGCTTGAGCCTTCCCTTCCTGCACCTCTTGCACACACATATGTATTTACAGAATCTCAGAATGGTTTGGGTTGGAAGGGACCTTAAACAGCATCCAGTTCCAACTCCTGCCGTGGGCAGAGACACCTTCCACTAGACCAGGTTGCTCCAAGCCCTGTCCAGCCTGGCCTTGAACACTTCCAGGGATGGGGCAGCCACAGCTTCTCTGGGCAACCTGTTCCAGGGCCTCTCCACCCTCACAGGGAAGAATTTCTTTCCAATATCCCATCTGCCAGTGGGAAGCCATTCCCCCTTGTCCTGTCACTCCAGACCCTTGTCCAAAGTCCCCCAGTTCTCCTGGAGCCCATTTAGGCACTGGAAGGGGCCCTAAGCTCTCCCCAGAACCTTCTCTTCTCCGTGTTCAACAACCCCACCTCTCTCAGCCTTTCATTTACCCCAGCAGGAATGTGCCTGGAGCTCAGAGAATGGCCAGACATGGGTGTTCCAAAAAACCTTTTGGAGCACAGAATCCACACCATTGCATCCGGCAGGGAAGGCCGGGGAGCTCAAGGTGTCCAGGAGCCAGCAAAGGCTTGAATTGAGCAGTGGGCACCTTCTCCATCCTGTGCAAAACTTCCTGTATGCGATTCATCCAGATTCCAAAGAGGGAAACACCAGATCTTTTCATTAAGTGGAACACTGCAAGGAACAAAACAGAGGTGTCACTTCTGGAAAAGGAAAGCAGATGGAGGTTTCTGATGTGCAGTCAGTGAGTGTTGCCAAGGTGAGAAGAGCTGCTGTAGTTTGATAAACATTTAATATGGGTCAGTTCAACATGACACTTCTATGTCTCTGGTGCTGTACTGCCTCACTACTGCTGGGGTTCTGAAGCCAAAAATGCTCAGTTCACTCCTGAAGTCACCTTCTAAGTCCATGGATGATGCAGAGTGGAAGTGTCAGGGATGGCAGGAAGAGCTAAGCTATGGCCATCAGGAATGTGGCAGCTCTGCTGTGGCAGAGCAGAGATGAGCACCCAGGTGATGATGATGATGAGCAGGAGCTCACCAGCCCTTGGCAGTAACAGCAAGGTCAGGTATGCCGGAAAGCACCAGTGAAAATCCTCTCTGGGGAGATAAGCAGTTTGGCAGGAATCGCTTCTGCAGGCCATGGCAGCTGTCATCAGGGCTTTGCTCATACTCAGGGATTGTTATCCCTTTGGATTTGTGCATGAGCACATATTGCTCCTGTGGCTGTCAGGCCAGGAGTCAAGTGAAGTACAGGTTTGAAATCTCCATGGCGTGGGGGAAGTGAAGTGTCCCAGTGTACTCACCGGGTATCCCAGGACACCCCAGCTGCTGGGGTTGTTGGCAGACCCTCCATGGAGAGGGTATAGGTGGCTGGGCAGTGCCTCAGACTGGTGGGTAGTGCTTTGCCAGCCGGACGAGAAAGGAGCACTGGGATGGGATCCTGGAGCCTGCCTATGTCAACACGTTGCCTGCAGCCTGCTTGGGTCACCAGGATGGACTAGGGAAAGTAGAAGTGTCAAGAAGCAAGTTTGCATTCCTCTGGACCACCCGGAGCTCAGGCAAGACCTCCCCTTGGCATGGATATGGAACTGTTCAGTGTTGTCCTTTATTTTCCAGAGGCACCAGCAGGAGCTTACACGGATCAACAGGCAGGGAAGGCAAGGAGCAGGTAGCACCAAGCAGTGATTGATGTTCTTCAGAGACAGTTGTCACTGTCTCTGGGCTGCAGGACTTGTCTCCCACTGGTTTGAAGCTACAAGGATGGCTCACGGGACAGGACTCGAGTCTGGGTCAGTGCCCGATCCCATCATGGCTCAGCTGATGGAGCAGGAAACACATCTTCTCCCTGGCTATGGGCTCATGCTGGGGCCAAGGGGGCTGACAGGAGCTCTGGGCTGGGGTGGTCCTGAAGAACTGGAGCAGTGTTGGCAGGGGGTGAATGGAGAAACCTTCTATGTCAGCTGTGGGGGGTCCAACCGGCCCCAGGGGTTGAGGCTGGGTCACGGGGCGAGCACAAAGAGATGCGGCAGGAGCTCCATGCCTGTCTCTCAGAGGGCTGGTGGTGTGGGTGGGACCTCCGAGGCTGTCAGAGCTGGCTCCTGCTCTTTTGCAGGTGGTGATGCCTTTTTGTGTTTCTGACATAATTGCACTGGCGTAACAACGCTGATGAGGCTTTTTTTGACAGTGCTTCCTACTTGTGCTGAAGGCTCTCCACCCCCTCACTGCAGATGGGTTTAGGCTGCATGGATCTGAGCATGATGCTTGGGAGGAATCCCTGGAAGTGCTGCACTCTGCCTGCCAGCCCTTGCTGGGCCACATGGGCTCCCTGCTCCCAGCACAAGGGCACAGGCGAGGTTTTGACAAGTCCTTGTGTCCTTGATACCCAGAGGAACAACAATATTGTTGCTCCAACACTTTCAGGTCCTGGTCCTTCTCTCTCCTTGCAGCCCCTGGCAGTGCTGCACAGCCCTGGTCCTGGTGGTGGCTGGCACTGCCATGTCCACAGGCTGAGCTGGGCCAGGGTCCTGGGCCATGGGCCTGGCTGTGCTGGAATAACCTAGCGCAGAGATTTCCCCAGTGATGCTAAACTTCCTCTCAGGATACCTGTTGCATGTTCTATCAAGGCGCCCCAATGCATCTCAGTGCACATGAGGGCCAGCAACTGGGGGAAAAGGGGCTGCGAGCAAAGGCTGCTCTGCTCATGGCACCAGCCCAGCAACACAGCACTGAGGACTGGTCTCCCATGGCCAAACTTTCTGGCACCTAGGCATGGCAGGGGAAGTTGCCCAAATGGAGTGGGATGTGTTTCCTGCTCCCCAGTAAATGAATGGGAGGGAAATGAGGTAGTAGCAAACCCATTCCCACTGCATCACTCCTCAGCTGGGCTCCTGTGGGTTGCAAAATACAGGTCCCATCCCTCACTTCTCCCTGGAGGGCTCAGCTTTGCCGTGTTCTTTGAATGGCTGACATCTGCTGACAGAGGGGGATAGGGAAGATCTCCCCCAGGAAGCAGGGAAGGGTGCTGCTCCATTAGGCCTTTGGGAAGGCTGTGCCAGGCCAGTGATGCCAGAAAGCTGCTCACTGGTCCAGCCTGGGCTGCACATCTCAGGTCTTGCCTCTTGAGTTTTGGGGCCACTCAAGGCTGGGTGTGCACCTGAGCTGTGCAGCCCCAGATGCTTCCCAGTGAGTGTCAGGAGAGGAAGCAATCACCTCTGTGGTGGGATGTCTGATGAGTCAGAACTTCTGTAGGCTTCTCTTCAGACCCACTCTGGGCAGCTGTGACATCCAGGGCCCAGGAAGCAGGACAGGCATCAGGGGAGCTGAGACATCTGGAGGGAGGTGGCAAAAGGATGATAGGAGGCATGTCAGCTCATCCTTTTGTTGCCATTCATCATCCTTCACTTCCTCACTCTGCCACCAGCTCCTGGGATGCAGAGGCTGGGCCCCCACACTGACACTGCAGCCCTCTCCCCACTCAGAAAGCTCCCATGAGATTGTGACAACCTGGTTAGACCAGCGACATGCCGTCTACTGGAGATCACATGTAGCTCAGTGGGACCTGGAACAGGAGATGTGCCCCAGCAGAGCCTTGCCAAGGAGGCACATTTTACTGGACTGGAAGTGCTATGAAAATTGGTAAAGACGACAGAATCTGGCCACAGGCTTGTCTGCTGCAAAGTTCAAATGCTCAGCTTAGAATTACAGAATCGTAGAATCTTCTGAGTGGGAAAGGACCCACAAGGACCATTGAGTACAACTCCTGGCCCTGCACAGGGCATCTCAACAATCCCAACATGTGCCTGGGAGCGTTGTTCCTTCTTTTGTGAGGAAATGCAGAGTTTGGGTGGAGTGAAGCACTCAATATTGAAGAATCCACTTAGCACCAAGCAAATGACAAAACACTGACATTTTGACCCTAGAAGAAACAGAAAACTAATCCCAGATTGAAATGAAATCACTAAAGGGGATACTGTGTCAGAATTCAGGTTATGGCACCTCCATGTTACTCTGGTGTTGTAGGGCTCTGCTTTCAGGAACCTGAACCTGTTTTTCTCTGAGCCCTGCACTCATGTGGTCCTCTCCTTCCTGCTTTCCTCACAGCTTTACCAAGTTCCCCTTGATTCCTGGTGGTTCCTCTCCCACTGGTACCTCCAATCCTCACTGAAGCTCCCAGAGTAAATATAGGAATAACAAATGCACCTTTTGCTTGTGATTTCTGTGGGTTTACTGTTTAAGCATTTATTCTATGTAATGTCTCTTAGTTTGGGTTGCACTTAGAAGCCTTGGTGATAAGATAAAAAAATCTTTATGTGGGAATTTTCTAAGTTCAGAGAAACCCAAACACTGACAGGCTGAGAGAAGCATGGGGTGGCTTGGCTGGAGGCCTCCATGCTTGGTTCCTATTCTGCTTTCTTTCTTTACCATCATCCAGCATCTCTCTCCTCACTGCCTCTTCTCTTGTTCCTGCCTCACTTCCCGTTCATCCCTTTCTGTAGGGTGCGCATGTGTCCTTATATAATAAGGAATAAAGACGCTCCTCGTAAGATGATGAACAAAGAGAGTTTATTTCAAAATCGGCGTTGGTTTTATCCCTTAAACCCATGTGACTTCTTTGACCAATACGGTTGTTTATGTCGGCGCATGCTCTTTTGGGCTTCTCTGCCCCGCCACGTACCCTGTGCCTTGGACACGCCTCCTACACCTTTCCTTTCTGGTTTTCCGGTTTTCCAATTACCAGTTTTGGCCTGAGCTGACAGCTTAGGGAAGAAAAGAAAAGGTGAATGTTAGCCTTGTTCTTGAATCAAAACACGGTTTTCTAAAGTTCTAAAGGCAGACAAAGGCAATTTCCTTAGAAATCTAGATCCTTCCTCCTCACTGCAATACCCCTTGGAAGTGCTGGCTCCCAGTGCCCTCCATAGCCACCGAGTTCCCCCTGCCCATCACTGGCTCCTGCTCCCTCTGCTTCCCCCAGCAAATCCCTGGCCCTGGGAGCCTCAGCTGCAGGAGCTGAGCTCAGCGCTTGCTGCACTGCAAGACCCAGGACCTGCAGCCATCAGCCCTTTCTGGACCACAATGGTTGGGAACTGCAGATATCCAGAAATCCCAGCATCCTGAGGGCCTTCCTCTTCTCACTCTGTGTGTCCCATTCCCTTCCCCAGGCCCCTCCCCAGACCCAAGCACTGGATCTCCTCTCCATGGAAGGAGGAACCACCTCTTTCTCCTCACCGTCGCCTTCTCTTCTTACCTTTGTTCCTGAAGCATCGAGTTGGAAGCCCAGTGGTACATCAGTAGCAGAGACTGTTTTAAGATACCAAGTCACACAGGCCATGGCACGTGAGGGTAGAAGCATGCAGGAGTCTTTTGTGAAGTCTGGCAAAAGCTGGGATAAATACCTCCTGCATCTGAAGAGCCAGGCAAGTTCTGCAAGGTGTGGTTGCTCTGACATGCTCAAGAACTTGTTTGATATAGCCTGACCTGTAAGAAAGAGCAAGAAAGGTTACTCTGCTGTGCCTTGGATGGACTTTCCACCCTCAGCACCAAGCTGAGACTGGAGAAAGACACTAACTTGGGCAGTGGGACATGTGAGGGTAAAACACCTACTTTGCTAAAGATCTGTAATTTTTCTGATACTTTCAATGGGTGCAGTTGGTCTTCATTGTTTATTTCAGCATGAGCCTAAAAAATCCACATGTACACTAAAATAGTTTGAATATTTGTCTGTCAGTGCATTTTCTTTTGGAGTAGATGCAGGTGATTATGCTAACACTAATTAAGCTGTGGAATCATTAACATTGTGATGTGATAGATTATCCAGTCTTTGGCACTTCTAAATCAAGCAGTTTTTACCTTGAACTCCGTGGGGCTAAGGAAAGCCATGGAGAAACTCTAGAACTCTATAACCCATCAGTGCTGAAGGCAAGAGGGGGAAGGACTGAAGAGGGGACATCCAAGGAAGATCCAGGCAGCACCCCATTGCCCCTGCACTGTGCAATGGGAGCTGCAGGCTGTGCCAGTTTCAGCGGAGATTTGGTGGTGCCCAGCCTGGATCACCAGCCCCACAGGCAGAGCAGATGCCACTAAGACATTATAAGGCACCTCACTAACACTCATTAAGGTATATCCAACTCCTGTGAGGTATTGCTAATGGGCAGCAACAGAGGTGGGGGTGCACCAGTGGACACCACGCCAGAGTCCAGCCCTGAATGCCTCCAGCTCTCCCAGCCTGTCTCCATAGCAGAGGTGCTTCAGCCCTCAGGGCATCTCTGTGGTCCTTCCTCCTCTTTTTGCAGTCCCAGGAGCCTGCCCAGAGCCTGTCCAGCCATCCCTCATCCACCGTGTGCCACTATTACAGCAAGGGAGAGCAGTGCAGATGGCATGAGGAAAACAGCAACATACACAATCTGGCCAGGGAAAGCTGATAGGAAGCAGAGTCCTTGGGAGGGCTGAGCAGAGCAGCAGGTGGAGGTCCCTGCACCAGCCGTGTTGGGGGATGAGAGAGAATGGTCTCCAGCTAGGAAATGCCCTAGGGCACACTTATGACATTTGTTCTTTGATCCCCAGCCCCTCCAAAGTCTGGCTGTGTGAAGCTTGTTGTGTTATAGCCAAGACACTTCCTGCTGTAGCATCTACAGTCTGTAAAAATGAGGCTGTAATGGGGGATTGGGAGCCCCCGACTTGGTGGGTGGCATAGCCAAGTCACTTCCCCCATCTGTGCATTGGTGTGTCCACCAGTAAAACAACAGGAGACACAACTCTACCTCCCTTTCAAATGGATGGAAAACACCATCCCTGAGCTGTGCAAACATTGCATGTTCAGGACATATCCTATAGGGAAAAACACAGGAGCCTTTCACTTCTCGGGACTGTTTCCCAAAGCAGGTGCTGAGTGTGTCTGGGGAAGCAGCCTGGGCAGCGGTCACATTCCCAGCTGGAATACTGGGAACAGAGCAGTGCAGCACTCTCATCATAAAACTGTAGTCTACTCAGAGAAGGCTAAAAAACCTGGCAGGAAATTACAGGCATTACATGAGCAGACATGCAATTTGGAATACAGCCATATTTGAGCAGCTATCAAAGCTGTCAGAAAACAGGGAAGAGTTAAATGTAAGATTGAATGAGAGTCCAGACAGAGAGAAAAAACAGAGGGAAATGGGAGAGACTCTGAGTGCCAGATGTCGGTTGTCAGAGTCGGTTCCCATGTGATGGGAAATACAATGACATGTCCAAATGGAGACTGTAAGCAAGGTAGGAAGGTCCAGTTTGCAGCCAAGAGGTGCCAGGCTGAGGGCTGGCTGTGCCCACTTGTTCCCCTGACACTTGGCCACATTTTTAGTGATACTTGTTAATTTTTTTCCTGTTAATCCTTGTCTCATTCCATGGATGGGGAGGACTCCCCCGGTGAGAAACCAAGGAGAGGGAGCTGCCCTTTGTCTGAAGGAGCAGCAGGAATGCATGGAGCTCTGCCCTGGGATGGATAATGAGCCAGTCAAGAGTATCCTGGTTGGAAGGCAAATTGATGTGCTCCTGGTGCTCAGGTGATGTACTCCTGAATGTCTGCTATAGACTTCCATATCAGGAACTACAGTTTTCTTCAGACACCCAGAAGAAGGCTCCTGTTTGCAGGGCATGGTCCTCATAGAGGACCTTAATGCCTGTGATACCGTCTGGAGGGACAGCACAGCAGGGCACAGGCAATCTGGGAGGTTTCTGGAACACTCTGGCAAGAATTTCCTATTGTGGGTGACAAAGATCCAAAGAGGGAAGGCACCGATAGACCTGTAAACATGTTGAGGAATGTGAAGGATGAGGGCAGCCTTGGCTGAAGAGAACATGGCATGGTGGAGGTTAGAGTCCTGAGGGAAGGGAGCAGAGAAAAAGGCCAGATCACAAACCTGGACTCAGGAGAGCAGACTTTGGCCTCTTGAGGGATCTGCTCGGAAGAGTCCACAGGATGCAGTCCTAGCTCTCTAGGTGTCCAGGAAACATGATTCAGGATCAGCTACTCCACTCCCCTCTGACAAACAGGGGTAATGCTGGGGCCTGTAGAACTGGCTCTGAGCCAAAGCTGACATAAGATGAACTCTTCAACCTAATATTATATCTAGCCTAGTATTGTATTTAGCCATATATCTGCTTATTAACCAAGATGCTATATAATCCTTAGTAATGCCTTAAGAATATACATTTATGCTTGTTAGCACAGCATGTTATCATTAATTAGTAAGGCCTGTATGTGTTACAAATATTTCTTTTCTTTGCAGCCAAGGTCGCAAAAAATGATAGGGCCTCACGTAGTCGTAGCTGGTTCATATTTGAGATATCAATGTAGCCGTAAGTTCTGTATTTAGTGACTAGTCAAGGTCATAGGGCATTTGACAGTAGATGGCCCTCAGTCTCCCTCTGCGCCCTGGCCAGGCCTAAGGGGAATACCAATAGAGGAAGAAAGCCAGGTTGTTTTTCTGCACCAATTGAATGACGTCAGCTGGTTTGTTTAATACTATATAAGCTGGACCCTCTCACAGCAAAGATGGAGGCTTCACCTGTGGGTGGACACACTGCATAGGATTTCCCAGTTACTGGGAAGAGGTTCTCCAGACCTTCGCTGTGACCAGGTCCTTCCAGCTGAAGTGTGATCTGGATGATGACAATTACTTAATGTAACTGGTGAGGTATCTCTCTCTTAATCACTGTAAGTCTTTGTAGGAATGATTAGATGCATTGCTAAGTGTATCCTTTCATAAGTCACTGCTTCTTTTGTAATTCTTTACTGTCTTGCACTATAGTAAACTTTTGCACTTAAAGTTGGTGTCTGTGTTTCTTCAATCCATCCTCGTTACTGGGGGAGGGAGGGGGCAAAACAGATTGGCAAAACAGCAAGTAACCAAGTAAAAGTAGCAGGGGCTTGAACAAGGCACTCCTGACAAAACCCAGGCATAAAGAGGAGGTGTAGAAGCAGGTGGAAGCAGGGAGGACAATGCACGGGGAATCCAAAGATGCTGTCTGGGTGTGTTGAAAGGGGTCGGGAAAGCCAAAGTCCACCTAGAGCTGAGTCTGGCAGGGAACAAGAAAGGCAACAAGAAAGGCTTCTACAGGTACACCAGCAGCTACAAAGGAGATGGAGGGACTGAAGCATCTTTCATATGAGGAAAGGCTGAGAGAGCTGCGACTGCTCAACCTGGAACAGAGCAGACTTGTGAGGGATCTTATTAATGGATATAAATAACTGAAGCTGGGTGTGAAGGGGATAGATCCAGGCTCTTTCCAGTGGTGCCCAGCACCAGGAGAAAAGGCAACAAGACACAACTGAAATACAGAAAATCCTTCCTAAACAGTAGAAAGAGCTGTTTTACTGTGAGGTTGTTGAACACGGGAGTGGGTTGTTCAGAGGGGCTGCAGAATCTTCATCACTGGAGCTACTCAAAGCCCATCTGAAGATGGCCCTTATCAACCTGCTCCCCTTGACCATGCTTTGGGAGGGGTTTGAATTATGGAATCACAGAATCATTTAGGTTGGAAAAGCCCTTTAAGACCATCAAATCCAACCATTAACCCAACACCTTGTTCGTCACTAAACCATATGCCCGCATACCACATCCACATGCTTTTTGAACACTACCAGAGGCGGTGATTCCCTGGGCATCCTCTTCCTATGCCTGACCACTGTTTCTGTGGTGAATTTTTTCCTGCTGAAGACAGCTCCAGCACTGCTTTCTAACCTCAGCAACTCTGTGGATCTTTGTTTGGTCAAGTAATTTATCTAACATCACCAGATACGTAAAGAAAGGGCTGTGGATCCTCTGTGATACAGGAAGAGGCCCCACTCCTCTGGTGGTCTTCCAACCTCTTCAGCTCTGCCTATACATGGCTGTGGTGTGCAGGATCCCAACTCCAGCCTCCCCTGGAGAGATGGATGCATGTCCTGCCACCAGCACAGACTCTGGTCCTGCTATGCTGGGAACACAGGCAGCAGGTTGTGTCATTCCAGCTGGGACACTCCTCCTGCCACACTGGAGCCTCCCTGCAACATGGCTCTGATTCCCTCCCCACACACATGCAGTGGCAGGCTCATTGCAAGGTTTTAGGCTGCTGTCCACTGAGCAACTCAGGAATTGTTTTCTTTTTCTCTTCCTGCTCCAAGGCCCATTTTTCAGGACTGGAAATACCCCGAAAACACCCCAGTAAGGTTCTAGAGGTATGGAGGGAGCCCAGCTCAGATATATCGTGTCAGTAACTTGTATTAAATTAAACCAGAGAAAGGATCGATCTGAATCATGAGCACAGCCAGAGGTGTGGAAGGGAGAGGAGTGTTCTCAGAAAGGCAGGTCAACTGAGAAACAAGGGCAAGTGCAAGCAAGGAGGAAAAGGGGCTCTGATGCCGCTGAAGTGCAGGGACTGCCTGACTGGAGCAGAGGTCAGTCCTGAACAGCTGTTCTGGGCTTCAGGGAGAGGGTCAGGAGTGACTCTGGCCCTCATCAGAGAAGTGGGTTAATGCTGTATTGACACAGCAAAGACAGCGTGGATGGAAGAGAACAAAAACCACAGAGTCAAGCCTGGCCAGATGTGCCAGACCTCTAGGTTGGGAGAAGAGGAAATGTAGAGGTAATTAAGGCCTATAAAAAAGCATCCAAAAAATCCAGATCCATCTTAAGTGAGGGCAAAGGGGGTTAACTGCAGTCATTAAGGGGAATACTCATGAGAAAACCAGGGAACTTTGGCCTGTTTTGATCTCCTTTCTGCTCATACCAGAGTTTAAATCATCAAGCGTGAATAGGATCTGCTTCCCTGCCATCCCTGGGCACTACAGCCTTGTGCCAAGGTCAGCAGTAGAGAGAGCTGGGCTACATAAGGGGAAACTGAGGTATGGCAAGGGGGTGGTACAAACATGGGTCATTCTCCACCTCCTGTGAACAAGCCTGCCCATGAGGTCATGGTGTTCAGGGGTTGGTAGAAGCAGCTCCCTTACACTTGTTCTCCTTCTCTCTCAAAATAAAGAGGATGACAGGGGGACTGGACCAGCCCAGTGCTGTCTCCTACCACATCTTTGGGATGATTTATGATGATCCTTCCCTGCAGAGCCTTGCACCCTGCCAGGGTCCCTTCTGCATAGTCAAGGGCCACCGTGCTGTAGCTTCTCCCAGCTTACGGCAGGGGAGGTCTCACACTGCTGTTGTCTTGTGCATGATGGTTGGGAGACATGAGTAAAAACAGTATCCAGCTGTGACACCAGAGAGCAAGGAACCAGAACATTCAACCACGGTAATCACAACCTTACAGAGTTTGCTGGGCTGCTGCTTTTCCAGTTGGCTCGCTCCAAAGGCACGGCCTTGAGGCTGCACCCCTAAGCATGTGTGCAAGCAGGCCCATAACCCCTCCTGATGCCAGGAGGATCATGCCCTCCTCTCACCCAAGTGCACTCATTTGGGCTGGCTTTCAGGGCTCCCCTGTTGTGACATGACGGGGAAATATTCACAGCAGCACTCAGGGCCAGCAGCCTCTCATGTGTTACCCCAGACACAGCCCAGCAAACCCAGACTGTGGGTATGGGTGTTATGCCCCAGGTGACCTCCCCGTCCCAGGTGGCTTTCAGTGACATCCTGAGAAGAGGCAGCCAGCTGGGCTGGTTCAGTCAAGGACACCCCAGCAACTGCCACCCATCAAGACTGTCAGGGCAGAAGGTGAGGGTGATCTCCTGGCACCCTGAGGAGAGCACTTTCATGCTCACCTGAGCTCACCTGGCCAAACCATCCACTTTTCCAGCCAGAGGACATGGCTCGTGGTGCTTCCAGCTTTGAAGGATTCCCAAGTCAAAGTCCAGGCTCTCAAAAACAGAAGTTATTTTGAACTGAGTAGTCTTCGGACTTTTTAAATTCCTCTTCTCATTTCTAAGAATGCAATTTTCAATCACCTCAGAAGTTCAAGAGCACAAGCACTGGAGTGGCTTCTCCTAAGGAAAAGCCCTCAAGATGAAGTTGTGTTCTCCATTCCTGGGGAAAAACAACAGACATCATCTGCTGGAGATGTGGCTTTTGCTCCTCCTCGTCTGGAGTTTAATCTGCATTCACAACCAAGGTCACCTCACCCAGCACTGGGTTTGAAAGGTGACATGGTGACAAACCCCCTCTCCTGTGCAAGGCCAACAGCAGCTGAGCTGGTGCCACCAAGGCCCCTGCTCAGCTGCATTCCAAGAGCTGACCAAAGCAGTCCAGCAGATCAAGTTGGAAGACTAACTCCTTCAGTCCATATCCCATAAATCTAAATAAGGGATCACAGTTTGTTTGCCAATTCCTTACACTGTGGATGATTGTGAATCACTCACCAGTTCAAGTGTAGGTTTTGATGCGCAAGAGGAGCATGTGCTGTTGACAGAAACAGCTCCAATGTGAAAATCAACAACCAACAGCCTAGAATTGATGGGGTTTGCATCCTTGGGGCTCTCAAGCTCAGCAGGAAACATTGAAGGGAACAATCCCCTATATAAGGGCTGCACAATTTGAGGTGCACTAAGAACAATAATCCACATGCAAGGAAACTACTATCCTAACCCCAGGTGATGAAGTGGCCACCAAGTGACCTTGCTGTAGGGTGAGGTCGGTGGTCCCACACAGGGGACAACGACCTCAGGGAACAGGATGACAATGCTCAGAGACCACTTGAGCTCTGCAGAGCAGCTGAGTGATGCAAATGCCATCCCCTCTGCCTGAAACAGGTGGTAGAGAGGAAGGAAGAACCATCTGGTTTGCCTTTTTTTGTTGAATTATCTCCTAAATAAGAAGCTAAGTAAAAGAGAAGACTGGGATTTTCATTTTACAGTGAAATAAGGTACATTTTGCAAGTTGCACAAAATCAAACTGACAAGAACTGCTCATTGAGAGTGTCGGATTAGTGAGGTGATGTGCATTAAAGTGCTTGGAAGCATGAATTGCTCTGAAGAGCTCCGTGTTGCTCTTACTCCGTCTGCTTTCCCCAGCAGCAGGGTTGCCATTTGCAGCTGTGTTTGTGCTTGTCCGCTGGTGACTGATTCCTGTGCTGCTCATGCCTCCAGAGGAAACCTAAAGACGCATGCAGATTTTCCCCACCAGTAACATGGGGTGCCCACAGCTTCCTCTGGAGCACCTGGTGATGGGCAGTGGCCGTCACGTCACTGGCCTCTCCAGACCAGGTACCAAATTTGTGCTGGGACTTTGGGGGAGCTCCATTAGTGCTTCTTTCCCAGCAGAACCCACAGCAGTTTGCTCCCATGGGGTGAGCAGCCTGGCGAGTAGCTGGCAGCTTCCTCCTCCCCTCCTCAAGGGGTGCTGTTACCCACTCACTGCTCCGGGCACAGGGGAGCTGGTGTTCCCATTGGAAAGGAGCCTCTGAAAAAGGCAGCAGGGCTAAAACAAGGCTCCATTTTCCTGTTCCCAGTCTGCTCTCCAGAGCCCTTCTGTGCCCCATGCCTGGGTGTCTGGCAGGCAATTTACACCACATATGCATGAACATGCAGAGAACCGCTAGCACCGCAGCCTTGCTGGATCTGTGCAGGGAAAACTTCCTCTGGAAACACCAGGGCTCCCCCCAGCCTGCCCTCTTTCCCAGGAGGGGTGTGCAGGGACACAGGGTTTGCTCTGTGCTCCAGGCTCATCACCCCAGCATGGCTCATCCCCAGGCAGTGCTTCCAGCTCTGGGCAGTGGCAGGTTCAGGACTCTCCAGCCCCTGGAAGGCACCTGGTGAGAGTCCACGCAGAGAGGAAACTGAGGCAGGAGTGAAGTAACTTGGCCAAGGGGTTCCTTGAGCCTCATATCAGTGTTCAAAAAGTGCATGGATGTGGCAGCTGGGGACATCGGTTAGTGATGGGTTTGGCAGCACTGGGTTAATAGTTGGACTAGACCTTAGAGGCCTTTTCCAACTTTAATGATTCCATGATTTTATGGTTTTTTTTCTTCCTTTCTGGCCCAGCTCCACCAAAACACAATGCCTGGTACTCAGCATTAGCCACACGCACTGCAGCAGAGCTGGCAGCGTGGGGAGCACCACTCTGTCCACCTCAGCATTGCCTCAGCGCTGTCCTTCCTGACAGATGAGGGGAAAGGAATCCCTGGGAGCCCTGGAAGAGAGAAGGGAGAAAATATGGAAGGGAGAAAATATGATAAGCAAATCCCCGTCATTAAAATGTGAGGTTTGCTTCAGTTTCCTTCTCTCTCAATCTGGAGGGATTAGCATCAGCCAGACAAGAGACCTGTCAAGGCACTTAAAGCAGTGCTGCTTAGCCTGACCTCCAGCTGACTTCCAGTCAGGATGATTTCTGAGAGACCAGCATCTCCCTGCAGTACCCTCTGAAAATATAACAAAAAAGGAGGGTAAGGGAGGAAGCTGCTCTGGAAGCTTTTCTTACACAAAGAATGGCTCTCCATCAGCAACACTGCTGGGCCCTGACAGCCATGTCCCCAGCTCACCTGGGAGCACTGCCAGCACAGCCACATTTCCACAGATCCTCAGAGACTGCCAGGCTTCCAGCACACACAGAGCATGGCCCAGTGTGGTCCCTGCCCCAGCATCCTCCCAGGACACATGCCACAGGGCAGCCATGCTCTCCCTGGGGTGCAGATGTGGAGATGGAGCAAAATGCAACCTTGAGCCCTGGGAATGTGCTGTTTGGACTCTCAGAAAAACACGGGTTTTTTCTCAGCTAGTACAGGGGCTCTTTTCCCAGGGATGCTGCTCTTGGCTACCAGGGCTCTCAGCAGCCTTTCCAGCCTGCCTCTGCCATGGCACGGGAGGAATTATTTCGGGTTAAAGTCAAGCTCTTCACCAAGCTCCAGTAACACAGAATCATAGAATCCCAGAATGGTTTTGGGTTGGAAAGGACCTTGAAGCTCATCTTGTTCCTCGCCCTGCCATGGGCAGGGACTCCTTCCACTAACCCAGGTTGCTCCAAGCCCTGTCCAACCTGGCCTTGAACACTTCCAGGCATGGGGCAGCCACAGCTTCTCTGGGCAACCTGTGCCAGGGCCTCCCCACCCTCACAGGGAAGAATTTCTCCCTAACATCCAATCTAACCCTGCCCTCTGTCAGTGGGAAGCCATTCTCTCTTGTCCTATCAAGGAGCTCCAGCAGGGATCAGGAGGCTGCAAGGACCACTGTAGGATGGCAGCGCTGTCACTCCACTGGATCACAGACACTTGCTACAGTGTCTGTCCGGGCAGGGCTGGGGCTGGGAGTCCCACAGGGATCAGGGTGATCAGCCACGGTGGAAAGCAAGGACAGCCTCAGGTGTACAGGGGAAGACAGGAGATGTAAGTGATGCCCCTATTAAGCCCAGCTCTGCTGCTGCTTCTCTGGAACCCCAGCTGGTGCTGTCCCAGCACAACAGCACCGTACTGGGAGGCCACATACCTGTAGGCCCCATGTCCCCATGCACAGGGCACAGAGGGCTGCTGTGGCTTTTCTGTGTAAGTTAAATGTGTCAGGATAGGGGGCCAAAGGCTCCTTTTCTGTTTCTCTACCTTGCAGCTGCTGATGTGAAGAGCAGCAGCATCGCTGCAACAGTGGATGGTGTGCAGAGCTCTGCCAGGAAGGGGCATAGCTCAGTTGTACCAGGGCAGGTGGGAGGGAGGGGGACACTGGGAACCATGAGCATGGACAGAGGCGCAGAGGTCTAAGAATGGGGGGAAGAGGTTGATGTCAGTGGCTGCCCATGGCTGTGCCCCTCCAGCACTCCCTCCCTCCAGCTGCACCATGAGGATAACACCCAGGCTGGGAGTTCTTGCCCATACCAAAGCAAGGCCTGCAATCCTTGCTCTCAGCTGTGGAGCCATCCAAATACCCACTGGGAAATAAATGTTAGTCCAACTGTTCAGAGCCTCTGAGCCCCTTTTGGGCTGTCTCTGCCCACTCTCAGTGCTGAAGGCTGCCAGGAGCAAAGGCAGCCTTGTGCATGCTGTGGCACAGGTGCAACCTGTTCTTTCCTTCCTCCTCTCCTTTCTTTCAGCATTCATCCTTCCTAGTGTCCTGCAGCCCTAAACAGCTGTATAAGACTTCCACTGCAGACAATATTCATACAAACCACATCTGGCCCCCTCGCACCAGCCTGTGCATGGCACTCGGGGCAGGCTCTGGGCTTCTCCAGAAGCTTCCAGAGATTTCCTGGCTTTCGCTGACCTGTCCCATTGCTGCAATGAAGGCAAGACTCATTGTCCCTGTGTGCTGGTTTAAAAGTTAACCAGCAGGGGAAACCAACCCAACTCAAAAGAGAGATTACAAGTCAGAATAACAATTTAATAAAATCATACAATAAGTACGACCACACAGACAAGCAACTGGCCCTAACCCACAAAGCCCAAATGTACAGCCCAGCACCCGGGGGCACAAACAAAGCGGTGCTCCCTGCCCTCCCCCCTTCCCCCGAGTCCAAAGCAAAAGGGAGAGGAGAAAAACCTGCCGGTGGGAGAGCTGCTGCAGTCCGGCCAAGAGTGGTGATTTGCAGTCCAGTCGAGGGTGGTGGTCTCAGTCTGGCTGAGAGCGGTGAGCTGCAGTCCTCCTCTGGATCCCATGAGTGGTGGAAAGGTTCCAAAACTCCAGGTTTATATATTCTCCAGTTCAGGCAGGAATGTTCAGTCCCTCCCCCAGAGCGGGGAATTCCATAAAGGGATGCTCAGTCCTTTCCTCAGAGTGGGGAATTCCAAAAAAGGGCATGAGGACAGGAACATCCCCCCACCTTACAGGCCTCTACTGACAACAGTTTCTGGGAAATGGCATGGAAGGCTATAGAATACACAGTTTTGGGCTACACCCATCCAGTGATGAATCGGTCCCAGCTGTTCTAACTAGGACACCCTGTTTTACAGGGAAGGAGCCATAGGGTTATGTTTTAAGTAAGGCCTGAGATCATGGGTGCCTCTTGATCTGGGTCCTCAAACTGCAACTGGCTGAAGTCTCCCTCCCTGCCTCATCTTCAATGTCAGATAAACCTGGCACACACCAACTGCAATTGTACCTGGCCAAAGCAAAGCAGTGACTGTGGCTACTCAGATCTGTCATCCAGAGCCCATCGCCACAGGGACTGGGACCTCTGAGGGCCATGCTAAATGCTGAGAGCTAAGGAGAAAGTTCAGGCAGGAAGATCAATAAATTGTCTCGGTAGGAGAAGCTGCCTCAGCAGACAGGAGAAGGTGGTTGGCCACATCATTTGGGCCCTGCACAAAAAGAAAGTCATTGAACATGCCCAGAGAAGGGAATGGAGTTGGGGAAGGGTCTAGAGCACAAGTCTGATGAAGAGCAGCTGAGGGAGCTGGGGGTCTCAGCCTGGAGAAAAGGAGGCTCAGGGAGTTTGGTGGATGTTGGGCTCTTCTCCCTCGTAACAAGTGACAAGATGAGAGGAAACGGCCTCAGGTTGTACCAGAGGAGGTTTAGGTTGGGGATTAGGGAAAATTTCTTCATGGAGAGGGTGGTAAGGCAGTGGCACGGGCTGCCCAGGGCAGTGGTAGAGTTACCATTCCTGGATATAGGGGTAAATGCCCTTTTTCTGGAAGATTTTACTACGAGGAATCAGTTATTTTGCTTAGGAAAAGGTTTCCTGCCACTTTCTCAAGATAGTTGCTGTTCTTGCTCCTCCATTACAGAGAGATTCTCTCTCTGATTTGTAAGGAGAGAGATAACGTTCACGGATATGTTACAGGGCCACCATGGCCCAGAGAGAGCCGGGGGGCCAGTAATAAAAAAGCCTGAAGAAGGAATGGGAGGCATGCCGTCTCAGGCCCAGCAATGTTTCCAGCTGGTGCAGTTTTCCTTTGTAAGTTTTTTAGTGCTCTTGACTTCAGAATAAACCTGTTTGGATTCTTTACACTGTGTTGGCATTTTTGGGGGTACCTGTGTGTATCTTACCTCACACTGGAAGTGTTCACAAACCATGTGGATGTGGCACTTAGGGACCAGGTTTAGTGGTGGCCTTGGCAGTGCTGGGTTAATGATTGAACCTGATGATATTCGAGGGCTTTTCCAACCTCAGCGATTCCATGATTTACTCAGGACTTGATGCTTAAGGTGAGGTACTCCCAGAATTTCGAAATCCTCTTTGTGCTGGTAGGTAGATGTTAACCAGTCTCCAAGGAGCAGCACAGATCACCTTCTCTTCCCCTTTTTGTTCTGGGCTCTTGCCAAGATGAGTTGGGATTGTGATACTGAAACACAGTTCTTATGTCCAAGTTCATCTGTCCCTATCAAAGGAGAATGGAAGCAGCTAATGAAAGATTTAATTGCCATGTCTAGAGGGAGAGCAGGAGTTACCTCTTTCCAAAGTCCCCAGGCAGCATCAGGAGTGTGGAGGGAGCTTGGGCTCCCTTTGATATGATAATTTTACCGCATAGGAGAGATGCAAACACAGTCAAAGGGGCTGAGGAAAATCAGACAGGCACAGGAAGGGCTGGAAAGCCAGTGTCATACCTCCTGGTTTCTTCTTCAGCATAAGGGAGGTGTAGGTAACTAATAGGCAAATCCCTGGAGTGGAAGGATGCTCTTCCCGAGAGGCAGGGACCTGCCCCAGCATCCAGCGCTGTTTCTTCAGCCCTCACTGCCACCCTTGGAAATGATGGACATCGGAGAGGACAGTGATGGACATCTGCAAAGAGGCCTGTGAGTCGTAGAAAACCTGCCAAGAGCCTTGTGGAAACACCCAAAGGAAGCGGACTGTCACCTGGACAGGGACCTTACATCATCACTGCTGGGTACACACGACATTCAACCTGTGCACAGGGACCCAGTGATCAGTCTCTGAAATGTGGCAGCAACCTGCAACAAGGAGAAGTCCAGAGATTTCCCACCTGAAGCCAGAGGAGAGAGGGAAGCAGGATGAACATTTTCCAGAAAATTCTGGAAATTCACTTGAAATTCTTCCTAAGGCATCCTGGTAAAAGGAAAAAAAAAAGTCACATTTGTATTTTCACCCCCCCCCCCCCAAAAAAAAATTTGGCACTGTATATTCTAAAAAACTTGGTACACTTTCTTCCAATATTTTAAAATGTTACATTATTATATTATTCAAAATAGAAAATATGCTCTTGGAATAAAAATGTGCTTGAAAGGAAGGATTTGTAAGAACTTTTCTCAAAACCACAGGTCACTGACATCAACAATTCATAGAGAAAGTCTCATTTCAGTGAAACATCTTCCAGAGAAATGTCACAGAGGAAAATATTCCCCCTGTACAGGCTGGGTTACCTCAGGCCTTGAGGTGGCTTGAGGGGTTCTTCTGTGCCCTGAGTGAGAGGTGAGGGAGAGGGGGCTGCACTGTGCTCCCTGCAGCTGTGCTGTACAGATGTGGGCAAGCAGAGGAGGTGACTGCCCTGAGGGGGGTGGCACTGAGTGTTGCTGCCTCACAGGTGCTGGTTGGCACTTGCCAGTGGGTCCTGCCCTTAAGGCAGGGGCACATTCAACCACCAGTGCCAGATGAAATCACATCACTTCTCTGACCATTCTTTCATTTTCCTAAAATCACTGTTCTTCCCAAACCAAACCAACCATTTCTCTGCACAGCACATGAGGGGCCTTTTGGTCTCATTGCAATATGAAAAACACCAGGAAAAAGGGTCTCCAGTTCATGGTGGGAATGGTGAGAGGAGGTGGGAGGGCAGCTTGGGGTAGAGGGGCAACAGAGCTTGAGGTCACTTGGCAGCAGCAGCAGCAGTGGCAGCAGTGGCAGCAGAGGAAGCACTGACAGTCACACTAGCAGCAGCAGTGGCAACAGAAGTGGCAGCAGTGACAGCAGTGACAGTCACAGGAGCAGTGACAGTCACAGGAGCAGTGACAGTCACAGGAGGCCAGGCACCAGCTGCAGCAGCAGGGGCTGAATGCCTGGGCACATGTTTGGAGACTGTAATAAAAGCCAATGAGGTGGACGTGCCAGTCTGTAACCCTCATGTGTGCTGTCCAAACCCTGTGTTTCCAGCTTGTTTGCCTTTGGAGAGCTGCTCAACAGCACTGCTTCCCTCTGGTTGAGGAATCACAAGCATCCCGCCCATGCCACACAAAGCCTGGCACTTCCAATTGCATCATCTTCCTTCTCATTTTTAACAGGAAAAGAGGAAAACTAACCCCAAAACCACCTCAGTAGGACATCTTTAGCCAGACACGGTTCATCCACAGCTCCTGGAGCTGATTAAAAGTTGTTATGGCCTATAAACACCCCACCTGAATCGCTATTGCTGCACGTGTGGGTCAAAGCTGTCCTATGCAGCTGCCACAGCTGATGGTCAGCAAACTAGTTCTGGAAAAGATAGAGTCACTATAATTTCTTCCATGTCTTTGTGCAAATAAAGAAGCAAGTCTGATTTTTTGTGACCTCCAACTAGGCCCTGCTGCATCCATCAGAGGCTGCCCCGGGGGGGTGGGGAGGGCAGAGTTTTGGGGGGCTCCCATGCAAGAGGGAGCAGCACAGAGGAGTGGCCGGACGGGCAGATGTTTCCATGAGAAGACGCTGGGTGTGAGGAACCAGCTGCCCTGGTACATTGATATTAGGAATAAATAGGTGTTCTTGCAAAATTTGTAGTGTGGTTGCATTTGGTGGTGGGAAGTGAGAAGTCAATGGTTGTTCAGTTGTCAGTTACAGAGAGGTGCAGTTTGCCCAGAAACAAGGGGATCTATCAGCAGAAAAGGATCAGTAACCTATCTTTTAAAAATGCTCGGGACCCTTCCTCTAATGACCATGGAATAGGGGACACATTGTGGAAGTGTCAGGAAGGCTGTAACCCCTGAGTACCTCAGTCAATGGGGAACCAGGGAGGGACCTGCATTTTGGGCAGAGGGGATAAAAGAGGCTGTGACCTCGATCGAGTTGAGAGACCTCACTGGGGACTGTCTAGTGAACTCTCCCTTTTATTCAAAGTTTTGCTTAACTCCTCTGTCTCTTGGCCATTTTTGAGGTTCTTAATACCACAAATGTATTTTTCAGAACATTGAGGTCAGGGAGGCTGACGTGGTCCTGGCTCAGGAGGCAGCACTGGGGGAAGGAGTACCTCTGTGGGGCCCCAGTCCCCACCACAGGCAGCATCAGCGGCACCCACTGCTCCAGCACCCTGGGGAGCAAGGGTATAACTGGCTGCTGCCTCCCAGCACAGGCAAAGGCCCCAGGAGGGGAGATTCCCATCCACCCTGCTCTTGCCACTGCCAGCATCCAGGAACAGGCATGGTTATTTTTCTTTATTTTCCATTCAGCCCATGGTCATAAAGCTGAGGACTTGCAGCTTTGACAGGGAATATGTCAGGAAATGGAGAATGAAGGGTTCCCACACACAGCCCCAGCCGGAGAGTGCAGCAGCGATTGCCAGGGCTCCACTGGGGAAAGGATGACCATGAGCACCTGAACAGTTTAGTCTCTTAAAACATAAAGGAAGAGGAAATTCCTGTAGCTCTTTGCGAACCCACACCCCAAACCTTGGCTTCAGAGTGTATTAGAGGCTTAGAGACAGCAGAAAGGAGAAAACCAACATGACACCATCAACTTTTTCTAAATTTTATCATATCCTTGGATATTGTAAAATATTTTATGAACTCTGGAAGTGCTCACCATCTCTAGAAGTGTTCAAAAGGCATGTGGATATGGCACTTGGGGATGTGGTGAACACAGCAGTGCTGGTTTAATGGTTGGATGTGATGGTCTTAGACATCAGGAAAAAGAGTAAAAATGTAATAGGCTCAAATATCACAGAATCATTCACGTTGGAAAGACCTCTGACTCAGAATTTGAAAAAATGTAATGCTGGCATTACTGGAGAAGAAATATGATGTGAAGATAATTTTAGTTTCTAAAGAGCCTGCTTCAAATGGCTGTGATTTCGCTTTCAGCCAGTGCAAAAAGCCAGCCTGACACCTTTTGTTAAATAATGCATAACACCTTGGCTGCAAGGGAGAGGCCTGGCACACAGCCCTGCCCCCTTAGACCTTGCTCAAGTGCTACTGAGTGGCTTCCAGTGGATTACAAGCCGGGAGTGGGCTTTGTCCTGGCTCCCGCACAGCTGAAGATGTCATTATTTTCCAGGAGAGCCGCTCTGCTGATGGAGCTTTGTGTTATTCCATGCAAATAATCTCAGTCGGAAAGTACCTGCTGGTCAAAGCACTAAATTGAAGATTCAACTAATGGTCACTGCCATTATCTGACAAACCTGAAAAAGAGGAAAAAAGAAAAAATAACAAAGCCAAAGGGCAGGATTGTTTGGCATGGAAGCGTTCCTGGCTGTCACCTCTCTGTCTCCACTGGCAGCGTGTCTGCTGAGACCCTGGAGCCCAGTGGTGAGAGCGACTGTCCCACCTTGTCAGGTGGTGCCAGGTGTGCTGTGGCTGTGCCCTGCCTGCCACGACACCCGCTGGGCTCCCCTGACAGGATTTAAACACAGCATTGTCTTGCATCTTCCAACAGAATCAGCCCCCAATCTGCCTCACTTAGCATTTAGCGTGCAGAAAAATCAATGTAGGCACAACACCTCTGGTTTTCTGTCCCCTCTAACAGCATTGACAGTGCTCCCCAAGGGGAATATTCAGCTACTGCCAGTAGCCTCCTGGGGGAAGGCAGGTTTAGCAGCAGGGTTGTACCGTTGTTGGCAGATGAAGCAGCTCCCATCATCCAGCTGCCTTGGGAAAATCCAGAACTGTCTCTCACTGTCAGCTGTGCTGATGATGAAGTGAGAGCAGCTGTGGGCAGAACTGGGCACGTGTGTGTGTGCCAGGGCTCAGGTGGGAAGACACCAGCACCCACTGCTGTTGCTGGGCACCCTCTATTTTTGTTGTCACCAAACGCTTTAAGATACAGCTACAAAACACTCTATCGATGCCCACGCCTACACTGCAAATATCCACCACCACTGCTGGGTGTCCTGAGTGTGATAAACAAAGTCTTGAGTTTCTATAAGTTTCAAATAATAGTTTATTACATGGTAAAAGCAAGCAGCCGGCTGGGTGACAGAAATGGGACCAGTTTCCCAAATCTGCACACCCTTACTACAGGGTACATTTGGTATTTATCTTAGCTACTTCATGCATATTAATTATATCATATACATATACATTCTACAGGTTTTTGCTAAGTATTTAATATATGGGTTTTCTTACAGCTAAAGCTAAAAGGGTTATCTCTACAACCAGTCATAATTCACATATTCTTGGACGAACAGGCACCTAAAGATTTAAAGTTCTACTATATTTCATTCTTAGGATAGTAAGGAAGTTTTAGGCCTCTTGACCTTGTGAGGGTCTGTTTTATTTCTTTATGGGGATGTAATTAAGTTTTACAATCCTTTTGTTTTATTTTGATGTAATCACCCATTTGTTTCACGAATCACGATTATTTATATATCACATGAGGCAGCCCCAGCCCTGCCCAGGTGCGGGGAGGGTGGTGGAGGCACCCTGGGTACCGGTGCTCTGGAGACCGGCCATCAGCCAGGACAGTCTGTGGCCACCTTCCTCTTGGATATCACCTATTCTTGCTCATCTCTCCACATGGACAGCCCAGTCACAGCACAGCCCACTGCCCTCCAGAGGAGGAGATGGGTGGTCTACCCTCAAAGCAGGGAGAGCAGCCCAAGCCCCACTCCAGGATGAGGAATGAGCTTATCCTCATTCCTGTTCCCCACCATGTCATCCCCCCTTCCACAGCCACCCACAGAGTTACCTCTTCCCTTGCCACTGCACAGAGCTCCCAGCAGCTATGAGACCCTGTCCCTGTCCCCAGTGTCCTGCTGTGCAAGCCCCAATGCCAGCCCAATGCCAGCCCATCCACACAGTACTGCCCTCTCTATTCAGCTATCCATCATCTCCTCTCAGCTTCCTGTGGGACTGCAGGAGCTGGAAGCAGGGACACAGGGCAGTGGTGCAGAGCTAGCAGCTCCTGTGCACTCTGAGCAGGGAAACAAAAACCCAAAGAGCTGGCAGAAAGGGACTGGAGGACCAGGACGGGATGCTATGGCAGTCCCTGGGGCCACATGGATTCACAGCATCAATTGAGCTGCCATAAGGGTCCCCTGAGCATTGGGATCATAGAGCTGCCTGGTCGTGCAGTGATGGATGGGACACGAGGTCATTCCTCAGAGCCAATAGGAAGGCAGAATTTAAGCAAAGGTGAAGGGTGCAAAAAAAGAAAGGGCCTAAAGCAGTGGGTTAGCCTCAATAATTGGTTGGGATCATGTATTAAAAATACATCTATTGCTGATGAGGGATCTGCTCACAGGAATATTTGTTGTGATTTACATGCAATCCCAAAAGACATGATGAGATGAGATGAGATGAGATGCAGTGTCTTTGTCCCACACTCATCCAGCAGCCCCTGAAGACAGACAGGAAAAGGGACTGTCTGCTCTGCAGGAATACAGACAGGACTGGGGAGTGCTCCATTTTCCTAAGGAAAGCTGCTGAGCTACTTAAACCTTGACCAGCTGGAAGGGCTCATCCAAACAGGGTGATCTCAGAGTCTGGACCACAAGTCTGATGAGGATAGGCTGAGAGAGTTGTGGGGAGCTCTACCTGGAGAAAAGGAGGCTCAGGGATGACCTTCTCATTCTCTACAGTTGCCTGAAAGGAGATTGTAGCAACGTGGAGGTCAGGCTATTCTCACAGATAACATGTGACAGGATAAGAGGAAATAGCCTCAAGTTGCGGCAGGAGAACTTTAGAATGGATAGCAGGGGAAATTTCTTCACAAAAAGGGGATCAAACACTGTAACAGGCTGCCCAGGGCAGTGGTGGAGTCGCCATGCCTGAAGGTGTTCAAAAGGCGTGTGGATGTAGTACATCCACATGCCCTGGGGACATGGTTTAGAGGTCAGCTTGGCAGTGCTGGGGGAATGGTTGGCCTCAATGATCTTAGAGGGCTTTTCCAGCCTAAACAATTCTATGATTCTATGAGAGAAAAAGAAGTGTGTAGCAGAGCCCCATGAGCATCTCTCTGTAGGGCATCACAACGAGCAGTGACCACCTGAACCAATGACTGGACAACACTCTGAGGCACATGGTGAGATTGTTGGGTTTGTCATATGCAGGGCCAGGAGCTGGAGTTAATGATCCGTGTGGGTCCCTTCCAGCTCAGGACATTCTGTGATTCTCTGAGCTGCCTAACCCCAGCATTCTTCCTGCACAGATCTCCAGCCTCAGCCATGGTGGCATTGACTGCTGGGGGCAGGCTGTGCACAGACACCTTGGGATGGGTGCTCGATAGCTGGGACATGGCTGTGACAGCTGCGAGTGAGGACAGGGACCACCCTGCTGCAAAGGGTGCTGCAGGTGCCTCTGCCCTGGAAAGGCATAGGAAAGAGACAGGGAATACTTTCAATCATATATTGGCATCCTAAAGAAGGAAAAGTGGACATGGGCAAACCCTTACCTATGGAAAACTTTTGCAAGTTACCTCAACCCTGAGAGCATGTGAAAGGTCCCTGGTTACAGCAGGCAGGGGATGGGAATGTGGCAGGGGCATCTCTGAGCCACCTCCCCAGGTCCTGCCATCTAGCCAGGCAAGCAGGGTGCCGGCAGGGAGCAGGTAAGGCACAGACAGGGAGCAGGCAGGGAGTCCCTTTTGCCCTGGGCAGCCGCTGCAATCGATAAACCCTTCACCCCTTATTTTCTGCTGAGGACAAAAGCCATCGACAAAATCCTGATTAAAAAACAACCATCAAGCAAAAAACACAGCTAATTGCTTTTTGACTGCCAAACAAAAGCCTTTCGTCTGCCTAATTACACCGTGAAAATAAGAATTTAAATAAGAATTATAAGCAATCACAGAAGCTAAGAGAGGAGTGAATGCATATGGAAACCTGGAAGCAGGGCTAAGCACAAAGACTCAGGCAGCAGCTAGAAGAGGGGGATGACAAGGAAAGTATTTAAGGCTCATTATACTGAGTCAATTGGCTGCTCCTCAAGTACCTTCCTTGCTCAAGAAGGCACTCCAAGCACCCACCCTCTGCATCCTGGTGAACTGAAGCTCCCCAGTACCCCGGAGAAATCCTACGGATCAAAGTCATGGTCTGTCTCTGCCAGGTGGGGGAAACTCATGAGTCATTTGCCTACCAAGGCCACCAACTCTCGAATGCTGTTTCAACTCGGGGAAAAACACACTTCTCCCACCTCCTCTGCCTGAATCACAGCTGGATGCTCTGCAGGGTGGAAGACCACACAACGTCTCCTGAGAGCAGAGCTTCCCCACGAGTGGATGCTAAAGGCTCTCCGTGGGGTCTGCAAAGGTCAGGTTCATAAAATCACAGAATATCCTGAGTTGGAAGGGACCCACAATCAAGTTCAGCTCCTGGCCCTGCCCAGGACAACACCAAAAATCCCACTATATGCTTGATAATACTGTCCAAACACTCCTTGAACTCTGGCAGGTTCCTGTCTGGATGAGGAGATGGAGGATGGAGAAGGATGAGAGAGCTCTGGGCTCTGTATCCAAAGGGTGGAAAGCCCAGAAGAGAACCCAAACCCTGCAGCTCACCTCCTCCCAAGCCCAGAGCTGTGAGGGGAGCAGCCCACTGAGGTGAGGGGAGCAGCCAGTCTCTGAGACAGGAGGATGGGAAAAGGAAAAAATAATTTGGTTGCAAGAAAAATTAGTGGGGGAGAAAGGAGGTGGGGAAACAGGAGAAGGAAAGTAGATTACATTGAAAATCTCATGGTCATCCCTGGAAGAGCAAGTCCTGTGCTCTCAAGGGCTGCATGGAGACAACGACCAGGAAAGCTGGAAAGAGTCAAATTAATGTTTCCTTACCCAGAGGATAGTTAACCTGCAGAGCTCCCTGTGCCAGGAGGTCCTTACATCAAATACCAGGTGTCAGACTGTGGGAAAGGGGCTCCTGACATCACAGGGCGCATGGTCCAAGGTCTGTCAAAGAGAAGATTCCTTGTCTTCCCAAGGCGCTGGACTCCCCTTGGACAACCAGGTTCCAGGAGAGCAAGGACACAGAGGACACACTTTAGTAAGAGGTCGTGCTTCCACCAAAGCACAAGACCATTACAGCCCGTGCCACAGGCAGGTGGAAACCTTTGCACGAGCCACTCTCCTCGGTCACCTCTTCCACTGCACCTGTGGATGCAGCTCCCACAGCCCTGGAGGGGCAGGCAGGGCTCACAGTGCTCTGTAGCCATGAGCTACGGGGAATCTGCCCTTTGGGCTGAACTCCTGCTCAGGTCCCAGCCAGCCCCAGATCCAGCATCAGCCACAACATTTAATTCTGATTACTCCCACTTGCAGTGAAGGCCAGGAGACCGTTCTCTCTCAGAAATGCCAAGCACCTCGTACAAATCAATAGTTCATTTCTTATCATAGGGATTGGGGAGGGAGAGACTGTCAACATGAGGAAAAAAAGAAAATGCAAGTGACACAGCAACAAGTCTGAATCAGCCCTGTGGCATCAGCTGGAGGTCAGAGCAGTGGAGGGACTGCACATCACTGTCAAACTTGGAAGTGCTGGGAGATGAGAAAGCCAAAAGTCTTTTGTCACCAGAGTTTCAAGCAAAGCTTTGTGTTCCAGTTGATCAGTGGGGTGGGAGCTCTGGTTTGGCCCCACACTGAAGATGCTCCAGCCCTAAAGCCCCACATGGAGCCCAAACATGTGGCTGCAGTGCTGCCAAGGTGCCCTTCATTCCAGGCAGGCCTTTTAGCAGGAGTAATGATCCCACCTTTCATAAACAAATCCCCACAGGTTTCTAAAAGAAAGGAGTTGCTTGAATATGTCTCAGACCCCAGAAATAGCAAGAGGGAATTTGATAGCCTGCAGTTAAAGATTTTTCAGCAGTAAAAGCACCATCACAGGATCTGGGATGATGACATTTATCCAGCCTTGAAGTCTCTGTTTTGCAATGTGCTGGCAAACACAGCCAGCTGCACCAGGGGATGCTCTTCCAAATTTGCTGTGTCCATCAGGTGACCAGGAAGGCCCCCGTGCCCGCTGATGCACCCTAACCCCATACAGGTGGGTCAATCCCCATGGAGGGCACAGCTATTGAGCCTGTCCCATCAGCAGACATGTTATACTCCTGTAGGAAAGTTCATCAGGTGTTTAACCAGTCCTGACAACTGATTGCCCAGTTGACCAGGCCAACAAACTCGAAACTCCTTTGTGCGTAGAATCATGGAATCATCAGAGTTGGAAAAGCCCTCTAAGATCATGGAGTCCAACCATTCCCCCAGCACTGCCAAAGCCACCACTAAACCATGTCCCCAAGCGCCACATCCACATGGCTTTTGGAACACTTCCAGGGATGGTGACTCCAGCATTGCCCTGGGCAACCTGTGCCAATGCCTGACCCCCCTTTCAGTTGAATGAGTTACCTTGCATCAGTGACTTCTTTTGGAAATTCTGACCTACCTGGCTGTGCCAAAGGTAAGTAAGATTTGCAGGAAATCATGCCTGAACCATCTGTCTTGCCCAAAATCTCATGCTGTGTTGTATTTGCTCTCAGTCCTCAGTAGATGCTCTGCACAGTGGCCTGGAGAAGAATGACCAGAATAAGCAGATGAAGTAATTGAGCTTGAACTCACTTCTTCCCTTGTCCCCCAGGCTTGATGTGACTCTGGACATAGGAGAACCACATCTGGGGTTGTATCAAGTGAAAAATGCTGGAGAGCAAAAAGGGTGCCCATGAGAAGCAGCATATGTTTTTCTCTTGAGGTTTTTTCCTACAGAGGAAAGCAATATATATAGTCAAAATTAAAGTGAGGGTAACAGCAACTAGCAGCCAGCTGCAGCCATCACTCTCTGAGTCCCTGTGACACACTGGGTACAAGCCAGCACTTTGCTGGCGAGCATCACTGCTCGCTGCAGTACTCCAATGTGGGAGATGAGTAATGAAAGGCCTCGTGTCCCCTGGTGTACAGGCACAGCATCCCTGTCGAAGTGCTCTGGCACAGGAGAGTACTGGCCTGATCCAGCTGTGGGCAGCTGCAGTCCCATCTCCTGGACAGAGAGGCTGAGACCCAGGAGAGCCAGAGTCATGAAGGCCAGTGAGGAAAGTCAGGAGTGGGGCTGTGGGGGAGTTTAGGGGTCCAGAGGAGCAGGCAGGTATGGCCTGGGAGAGGGAGAATGGGGCAGCTCATGGCTCTGGCAGAGAGGCTCACAACTGAGACACATCCATCCTAATCTGCCCCTCCTTTTTCCTGCTGCCCCAGACATGAGGGTTTGAGTTTACCTAGGGCAGCAGTGATGCTATTTCTCATATTTCTTGCAAATCTTCTTCTGCCTCAGCAAACCTGCACTGGCTTATGTAAGAGACCTCAGGGATATTTGCAGGAGGCAGAGGCACTTGAGCAGGCAGGAGGTGTGTTTTGTAACACTGCACACTCAGCAGGGAGGCTGGGGATGCAGGGACAGAGCTGTTGCCAAGCAAGAGCCAGTGCTACAGTCCTGGAGCTGTGGTGGCCCTTTTAGATCCTTTTTTCCAGAGAAAAGAACAAACAACAGGGGATAGAATTCTCTTTGCCAGCTTGTACCTAAGCAGGACACCTCTGAAAAGGGAGAGTCTGTCAGCAAGAGCACAGAGGTTGTCACAGCCCCAGAACCTCAGGGCCTGTCTGACACCTAGCAGGATTGTTTGTCTTCAGCTGGTGGTACTCAGGATGCAGAGCCAGAAGGGAATTGCCAGTATCAACCCTCTTGGTTTGCACATTTTTGTTCAGCACAGCATCTCCTTCCTCATCCCTTCCCTCAACCATCCCTGTCACCAAAAACTTCCCACACGTTCCAGACAGCGCTGTGGCTGCTGGGTTGGAGGCACCTTACCAGCAAGAAGAATCATAGAATCCCAGAACGGTTTGAGTTGGAAACGACCTTAAACATCATCCAGTTCCACCCCCCTGCCATGAGCAGGGACACCTTCCACTAGACCAGGTTGCTCCAAGCCCCGTCCAACCTGGCCTTGGACACTTCCAGGCTTGGGGCAGCCACAGCTTCTCTGGGCAACTCGTGCCAGGGCCTCCCCACCCTCACAGGGACTTAATTTCTTCCCAATATCCAATCTAACCCTGCCCTCTGGCAGTGGGAAGCCACTCCCCCTTGTCCTGTCACTCCAGGCCCTTGTCCAAAGTTCCTCTCAAGCTCTCTTGGAACTTTCAGGCATTGGAAGGTGCTCCAAGGTCTCCCTGGAGCCTTCTCTTCTCCAGGCTGAACAGTCCCAGCTCTTTCAGCCTCAAGAACCCTGTAGCACTTGTGCTTACCATGAACACACCAGCAGCCATGTCTGAGGACTTCAGGGGAGCAGCTCTGACCTGTCTGGTTTATTAAACAACTCGTACAAAATCTTTGCCATGTTTCAGCTGACTCTGATACAGAAAGCCTGGAAGAAGCTCTGGGTACATCTTAAGGCTTCAAATCTGGAGGTGGTGGAGCAGGAGTATTTCATGGTTATGAGACTGGTTATATTTGTCATAAGATGTTGACAGGTTCCAGCACTCAGGTCACCTGGGATCAGCCTTTGTTACATGTGTGAAGGCCTCTTGTCCGACCTTATTCCAGATAAACCAGCAGGAACCAAATTAGCCCCATCCCCAGAAGTGTTCAAGGCCAGGCTGGAGGGGGCTTGGAGCAACCTGGTCTAGTGGAAGGTGTCCCTTCCCATGGCAGGGAGTTGGAATGATATGGTCTTTAAGGTCCCTTCCAACCCAAACCATTCTATGATTCTGGGAATCCCAGACACTTTGACATCAGGCTGGCACAGGACTTTTACCAGGGAGATGCTGGGATCTCTGTAACCTGGACCTGTGATCCTTCTGTGCCTGGTACAGAATTTGTGGTTGGAGACACATGCCCAGTTCTCACTTGCTATGATGCTCCATGGTGACTGTAGGGGGTTGAGGGGAGCCCTGTGCAAGAAATGGGAAAGGATATGAACTGGTTTGGAAATTTCTCTTTGCTCAAGAGACCTTTTGTGACTGGGAAACTTAAGTTTGGAAGAACGTGTGAGAATAGGGACATTCTTTCTTTCTCTCAGGCTGTTTTTTGTCAGGACAGTGATACGGTTTGAAGCTGGCTCTCTGCCAAGTCTCCAAACCTTACTACAGGAAGTCCCCCCCCGCCCAAACCTCAGGGAGAAGAGGGAAAAAACAACCAAGAAAACCAAAACGAGAGAGAGACAGCTAAAGCAATATATGTAAATATATTTACACTTATATTACAGTTATATACAATTGAAATATATATACAATTTCACAAGGAAAAGGGAAAGAGAAGGGGGAAGGGAAAAAAAGGAACAAAACCAAAATAAAATATATATATATCCCGATCAGTAGCCCAAGATCTAGCAACTAAAACAATTAGCAAAAGACTATCTTACTACTCTCCTTGGGACAACGGAAAGTCACGCTGGGACAATCGCCAGCAACCTCCGTCTCCCAAGGTCAGCAAGGCCTTACCAGGCCTCGCTCCCCAACACAACAGACTCAACAGCAGGGAAACCTGCACCTCCAAGCCGCTGGAAGGAAAGAGAGAGCGAAGGCCTCTCCTCCTTTCTTCTTATAGCCTGTCTTATGTAAAAATCGTAGGGAATACTGGGTAAATCTGGGCCCTTCCTTGGTTACAAACTGGTCACAAACTACCACAACAGACAAAACAGGCAAACCCTTATCAAGGAAGGTGCTTGCAAGCTAAATCAAAGCATTCTTTACTGCAGATGGCAGAAGGGGAGAAGAGAAAGGGAAGAAACTGCAAAAAACAGCCCAGAGGGCAGTATGCGCATGCCCCGAGCCTTTGATAGATATGACAAGGAGCCCAGCTTGGGGTGTGAGTTTTGCAGTTGTGTTTCCGAAATAAACTTCATTTAATGCTTGAAAGCCCATGGTTTAGCTCTCTGGTTACCTGCACGCGTATTGGGGCATACAGTGACACACTGGTGCTGGGACCAAGTCATGGCAGCAAACCGGTCTCCTGCTGAGCTGGAACCTTAGGCCTGTGCTGGACTGCTGCACAGGGAAATCCTCTCCCCCAGCCAGATTTACTCTGCTCTCTATACAAAGATAAAGACAGAAATGTGGTGTAGAAAACAAGGACGTGTTGAGGAGTGGTTGTACAATAGGTTGTTACAGGGGTGTGGACAACTTACAGGTAAAAGTATCCCCCTCTCTGCACTTACAGAGGATAAATACATCCAGGCTAGCCCTGGTGGCTGGTTGTCCAACCTGTTCTTCACACTTTGTGGTTAATGGGCTCCATAAGGCTGGGATGTAAGAGCTGTTTGGAGCCTGCAGCACTGCCAAGGGGCTGTGAGCCAGGCTGCTCTGGGCACATTCCTCTGCAGTGCCTCTAATTCAGGAGTCAACAGGCAGGGGATGCTGAAAGGCAGAGGCAATTTGCTCTTGTGTATGGGATCACTGAATTTCAGGATTATAAGAACAGGATTCACAGCCAGAATAAAGGAAAGGCCTAGTGGAACACTCACCTGAAGTCAGGTATGATCTGACAGCAGTGGTGAAGGGAAGATGCAATTCCTGTCTATCTTCCAAACACTCTGCTATTTCTTCACATCCAGGCCTAGCTTTAAAACTACCACGCTGTTAAGGAGGCCTCTGGTAGTTGCTGAGCAAGATATCTTGCAGGAACAACACCTGAACTCCCTGGAAGAGATTCTGTCTGGTCCTTGCACCAAGCCACTCAGCCCCTAGCCTGGCCCAGGTCCTTTCCACCCTTCTCTGCTTTTGGCATCCCCCTCACACCATCCCATATTGTGTTGGAGGTGGCCCATGCTGAAGCCTAGGATTTATTCTGTTTGCATACGACTCTTTGCATTATAGATTTAGTCTTTGTTATTTGTTTCTTCCCCTACGAGGTACCTCAGTCACTATGGAAACGATTATTGTGTTGGGATAAGCAATCCTCATGACAGCCCCGAAAACAGCAAAAAGTCACTCGCTGCACCTTTTACTTAATTCAGTGAGCTAATTAGCTCTTCCCTTCAAAGTGATCAAAATCTCTGTCACCAATGATCTGGAGAGAAAAATAAAGAGTTTTGACCGGCTGCTTTGATCATTTTGTGCTAACTTGGCATGAATTGGAGAAACCCAACAGACAGTTTCTGGAGCACTAACCACCATCCACTCCTCTGTGTAGGAGGAGCAGAGGACCAACTGGATGTAGGAAGTTCCCAGCAACTCAGAGCATCAGTGCTTGAACCACTGAGCAAAGGAGAAAGCCCAGCAGAGTCCCAGTGCTATAGAGCTGACAAAGTCATTGCAGCAGGGTTGGAGGATTCAAGAAGGCCAATGGCACCTGGTTTGTACCAGCACTAGTGCGGCCAGTAGGACCAGGGCAGTGACTGCTCCCCTGTGCTGGGCACTGCTGAGGCCCCTCAAATCCTGGTGTTAGTTTTGGGCCCCTCACAACAAGACATTGAGGGGCTGGAGTGTGTCGAGAGAAAGGTAATGGAGCTGGGGAACGGTCTGGAGCACAAGTCTGACAGGAGGAGCAGCTGAGGGAGCTGGAGGGGCTCAGCCTGGAGAAAAGGAGGCTCGGGGGGACCTTCTGACAGGAGGGTGGAGCCATGTGGGGGTTGGGCTCTGCTCCCAGGGAATCAGCGACAGGATGAGAGAAAATGGCCTTAACTTGTGCTAGGCAAGATTTAGATTGGAGATTAGGAATAATTTCTTCACGGAAAGTGTGGTCAGGCATTGGAACAGGCTGTTCAGGGTAGTGTTGGGATCACCATCTCTAGAGGTGTTCAAAAGATGTGTGGATGTGGCACTTGGGGGCATAGTTTAGTAGTGGGCTTGGCAGTGCTGAGAGAATGGTCGGCCTTGTTGTTCTTAGAGGGCTTTTCTGACCTTTATGATTCTATGAGAGAAAAAAAAAAGTGTCTAACAGGGCCTCACAAGCATCTCCCTGCAGGGTATCACAAGGAGCAGTGACTGCCTGTAGCAACAACAGAATTGGCTCTGCCAGCTCTGACTTGGCTGGATCCCAAGTCCTGCCCAGATTTCTGGAAGGACTAGATGGATCCAGGGGTGAGAGGCAAAGAGGAGCCTGAGCAGGGAACCTCTTCCTTCATCTGCCCGATGGGAGGCTCAGGTGAGGATGCTCCCAAAGGAGAGCCTGACTGGCTTTTCAAGGGTTGCTGAATGTGAGATGCAGATGAGCGCTGCTCGATCTCTGGTAAGAGCTGATGGCACAGGGCCAGGCTCACATCAGCAGCCAGACAAGCTCTTTGGTGTGGAAAGGAACAGACAAAAAGAGGACTGGGAAAACTACCCTGATCCCAAATCACTCCCAAAGAAGCTGATGTCTCTGCAAGAATAAATTCAGGGAAATTCTCTGGATTGTGATAAGCCTGGATCTGCAGGAGACAACAGTGAGGATTGAATTGTCAATGGGATGGGGCAGACTGAGCTATCATTTTATTTCTCTTCTTTGTCTCTTCACAGGGAGAACTTACCAGAGCTCAAATAACAACCCTGCAATGAATCCTTCCTGCTTTCTCTATTTGGCATCATCACAGTAGTGATTGGTATGAACATTTCTGAGGGTTAGGAGCAGTGCCATACTTCCCATCACCTTCCCTGGGAGTACCTCCCACCTCAGTACCCCGCTGTCCTGGTCCATCCCCTTGGCTGCAAAGGCAGCCCACTGTTCCCACTACCTGCACTCCCCTGGGCTGTCACCTCTGGAATCTTCCTTCCCTTGGCACTCCCACCCTGTGGAGAGCCCATGGGACGGTTGGAAGCTGCCTACAGCCCAGCGCCACACCTGGGCACTGCCAGGTCCCAGGGGTGGCAGTCTGTGATGTGTCATGTGGGTGCTCACCCCTGAGGAAAGAGCTTCATTGAACTGCTACACTTAGAGAGAAGCAGGTTAAACAATCTATTTCTCACTCCCCCCCCCCCCCCCCCCCCCCCCAGCACTCCAGCATTATTAAAAGGTGCTGATGTCTCCAGATTGATACCCAGGAGCAGAGGATTTGCAAGGGAGGCCACCGGTAATTGCATGCAGACAGGCCGGTTGCTCCTTCACATGGCTGAGTGAGGTGTTCTGTGTGTCAGCTGTCACCTCTGGGCTGAACTTCACCCCTGTGCACACTTCAAGGATCTCTTATCCCTGAGAGGACACACAGCACGTGGGGTCCAAGCCAGTTTCCGACTCACCTTCCCAGAGCTCTCCCTGTGTGGACATAGGAGTGCAGGGCTGACTTGCAGACACCCCACTCCAGTGTCTGTATTGCCTAAAACCAGCTTTTCTTCCCCACTGTCCCTACAGGCAGTTTAATGTGTTTTTAGATTTAATGCCATCACTTTTCACCCTGTGCCCTCTGCTTTTCTCTGCACATCCCTGTATATTCCCCACTGTATCTGCCTGTGCCATGTGTTTTTTACAGGGACTGTAAGCCAGGGCTTCACTAAGGTCTGGCCTAGAGCTAGTTTAGGTGCCTCCTGGGAGGTCAGACTTGCTGTAAGGACTTGAAGGCCCAGATTCAGCTGACCAAGTTACACCTAAATCTCAAGGCTTCATTCCCAAGGACTGCTATGAAGAGGTGGAAGCCACTGGAGCAGCTTTCAGACATGGCCAGTGGGGTAATTCCCTGACACAGATACTGGCTCCTCAAAAAGGTTGTGTCTCCCCCTGGTAATAAGGCGT